AGTACATTAGTTGGATCTCTAGTCACCTTATTAGGCGACAGCCCACCAGAACTTCCCACTCCCATGTAACCATGACTTAGTACCCACTGACCAACCTTTCCCCATCCCTATGTCTCCGCTATTCTCCCCAGCCTCTAGCAGCTGCATGACTACTCACAACTTCCATGAGGTCAACTTTTTAAAATTCCATATGAGTGAGATCATGAATACTTGTTTTTTGAGCCTGGCTTCTTTCATCTAACATAATGATGGTTCTGAGAGCTCTGGTACTCAGCTGTGCAGTATAACTTTACCTATTGGGTTATAACACCAAGGTTGTTCTCATACTTTCTGCTTTCTCTTCTAATTTCTGAGGGGAATTCATTCATTCCAAGGACTTTCAGACATTTCAGAAGAAAAATAATGCTTATTTCAACTACCCATTTATGGAGTATCTCACAGACGACAAGCATTTTACATATATTCTATGTGTACAGTGTTATGACAAGTAACTCTTGGACAAGTATGGAAACTGGAAAAACAAGGAGGTCACGATATGTTCCCAAAGTCACAAAACCAATTGGTAGTAGACCTGAATTTAAATTCAGAGGCATGTAACGGATTATACTCTTTCCTTTGCCAAGTCTTGCCTACTTAGAATATACAAAAAGGCTTCCAAAAGATGAGGACAATACAAGATTAGCCTTCAGTTTCACCATCTTGTGTGTGTGTGGGTGTGTGTGTGTGGGTGTGTGTTGTGTGGTGCTAGGGTATTGAATCCGTACCTCAAGTGTGCATACATTGCACTATGGAGCAATATCCTCAGCCCTCATCATCTATTTGAAAAATGACAATAGTTCACGACAACTTTTTATGTGTCCATGTGACTTGAATTCATTCATTGTTTCTTTACTTCACATTTTAATGTCATGATATATAAACCCTAGTCATTGATCTTTGGAAGACAAAATAGTCATGTCAAGCCTGTTTAATGATGAAAGTTGAGCAGGTCACATGCTTCATTCTAACTTTTGAGTTACATAAGTGAAATTGCCTTGAGACTGACTGGGTTTAAGGCAGAGATATGTGATTTCATTTGTGGTTACCTGACTGAAGATTACTACCAACTAAAGTATTTATGGTACAATCTTCAAAGTCAGTTACTTTGACTACAGCAGTGATTTCACCGCAGCAATTAACAAAATGGCAGACTTTCCTGAGGTGACATAAACTGTTTCAAAGCTGAGCCAGGGACCAAAAGAAAAACAGGTATGAGCACTTTATTCATTTAAAGAACTGATGTGTTATCGGTGGAATAGAATCAGAACATTAATTAAAATCTTGTTTTTTAAAAATGAAAAAACCAAGGTTCATTTTTATCTGAGATATGTTAAGGGTTCTATAAAGCTATAGGCATATATTTAAATAAAATTCATGCACCTTAAAGAATGACAAATTTACCCCCCCATTTAGTCATGCATTTAGACACCCAGATGGGGTGTGGCATGAGACACTTTTATTACAGGTATAATAGAATTGGATAATAGCAAACTTTATACCTGGCAGATTAATTTATTCAGAGCTCCTACTTTGCTCCCTCCCTCTCAGCATGCTCTAACTGTGGCAAAGCCATTCTTGGGAGTTATTACCCCAACATAATCATACCCCTGTGGATTAGGAGCAGTTAAATAGATTCTGTTATCAGAGACACATATGTGCCAGTGCAGCTGCTGTCCCTAAGCCACTGTGGTGATTAAGACTCACTGATAGCTGCATCTGAATGGGTCTGAGTCAGGCGGATACACTTCAGCTGAGAGAAATTCAGGTAAAGTGCCGAGAAAACTGTATTTTAAATGGTTCTATCATATCATCAGTTCCCCCCTTTTTAAGTGCTGGGGTCATGGATTTCATTTTGCCTCACCACGTGGCCATCAGAAGCCTGGCTCAATACCTGGGTGTAAGATTATGAGTGATGTTAAGGGAGATGAATGAATCGAGCTTATGTCAGGGAAGGTCTTTTACTGGGTCTCCGTGATGACTCGCTGCAGAGGGGGTGAAGGGGAAAGTCAGATCAAGAGCATTTCTGTAAAAAGAAAGAAATCTTCTCTCATTCTATTTCAAGAATAGCTGAGCACCAAGGGGCCAAATACTTTTTTTAAAAGCACATTCTTTCATGTGGAGGACAAGTTGAGAAGAATAACAGGACCTCTGAAACTACTTCTGTGGCTTTAATCTGGGCAGAGTCACTGTGCCATTGCTGACATCACTATCAGAGGCTGCCTGAGTTCTGAGGGCTTCACAGATGGCATTATCTGCATTGCACATCTGGCCAGATAAAGGCAAGAAGTGTTGATGAGACCAAAACTGTTAGATCAGTGGTCCATGACCTTCGTTGTGATTTAAAATCATCCGGGGAGCTGTTAAAATTACTAATGCCAGACTCTATCCCAGACCAATTGAATCTGGATCTCTGGGCACTGGGTCTGAGCACTGGAATGTTTAAAAACTCCCCAGCTGACTCAAGCAGCCGAGAATGGCCAAGGTGACTGGTGGGGGCCAAGGCAGGTGGAAGCAGCAGAGGCCAAGAGGTGGAGGTGTTCATCGTCAGGGATGACGGATGCTACCACAAGGCAGGCAGGCATGAGGAGCGGTATTTAGCATTGCTTCTCCACACTTGGAGGTTGTCTGGTCAAACTCAAGCCAAGATTGTGGCTTCCATTCCTTTAGCTTCATAATTCTATGAATTAGCTACACCCACCTGGCCTCAGAGGGTATGAGGAAGGAACTGAGCATACTTGGCTCTCAAACCCAAAGATCTCCCCTGTTTGCAATTCTGCTCGCCAGTCATAGAAACCTATTCAGTGACTGGCTGAGCAAAGAGTCAGCTCTGTCCTTGGCAGGCTGGCTTCCTACTGCCCAGGCCTGCCTGTCTGCATGAGTGAAGCTGCTTCTTTTGGGGAGCATCTAAGCCACATTCTCTAATCATTTTATCAGAAACAAAGCTAACACTTGACTTCCATCTGCCTGTCTCCTAGGGAAGGGCTCTTCTCCTTCCAAAGAGACTCCCAGGGGGCCCCTTTTAGAGGTATAGCATCAGTCCAAACATCATTACAGAGAATGTCCAAGAAACTGCACAAGGGAAATAGAAATGAAAATGGGAACAACATATCAGACCATGAGGAGAGCGTGTGACAAGTATCAAATAAGCAATTAACCATAAATCCAAAGTTCCAGGGTTATGTATAGCAATAGTCACCTACCTGGTCTGGGGGAAAAAGTAAAGTCTTAGCTACAAGACAGAAGTTCGCTTGAATTCCATGCAAGGACTCCTGGGGAGGTGGGGCTCTTTGGTTCCATTGTACACATGTTCGCTGAGCACCTATGGGCCAAACAGCTCTCACCCGCCCCAGTGGCTGAGCCTCAGACTGGGAGATGCACTGCACTGAGTTCCCACGTTCTTCCCTCTTTTGAGGAGGACGGCCCTCCTGCTGTTCTCATCATCACTTCAGATTCACAGAGAGCGTCCGGATAAATGATCTCACTGGTATTTCTCTGTGACATTTCGCTTTTTAAATTTTACTTTTAATTGACATGTAATTGTACATATTCATGGGCTACAATGTGATGTTTTAGTAATGTATGATTTATGATGATTAAATCAAAGTAATTCGCATATCTAGCACCTCACACAGTTATCACGTCTTTGTGGTAAAATGTGCAAAATCCTTTCTTCTAGATATTTTTAAGTATACAACACACTAATGTTAGCTATAGTCTCCTCACTGTGCAACAGAACTTGAAAACTTTTTCCTCCTATCTCAGTATAACTGTGTCCCTGTTGACCAGTGTTGCCCACTACCCCCAGCCTCTGATAAGCATTATTCTACTCTCTATTTCTATGAGACCAGCTATTTTACTAGTCATGTTTACAGATAAGGGATCTCAGACGTATGGAGACCCACGGGCATTGTAAACAGCAGCATTGGATTAAATACAGACTTTCCTAACTACAAAAGTTATGCTCTGTCCAACCTGAGGTGTTGCTCAACTAATGTTTGGCCATTTCTTTTCCCTTCTGGCACCTCCACCCTTCCTACCCTATCCCTTCCTATCCCTATGGTGATACAATGTATTTCAGTCATCTATTATTCTGTTTAATGCCAGTAAGTATAGATTTACATTCAAGTTACTAATCCCCGTTTTAAAATTTATAGGTTAAAAGATACGACTGGCTGGAATCAGTAATAGATAAAACAGAATGAAAGAATCCAGCAGATAGAAATGAAGTAAGTTTTAAGACAGCTGACCTGAAAGCCAAACATTTAGAGATATCAAATAAGACATAAATAAAAGGTGAGCAATAAAGGAACATATTGAGTAGTTAGAAAAAGTGTTATTACCCACCAATGATCTGTTGAAAACAGCATGATTTTACATGTAAGACAAATTACTGGCAAATTAGAGTACACATGCCCCCACTTCTCTCCCCAGATGATTACTGAGTGCCTATTATGTGCCTTTGTGTTGTGCTCCATGCAAATGAAATAAGAATTTTAAAAGATGCTTGTTGAACAATTACAAATCTAGCAGAAGTGTTGTGAAGTAACCAGTTGCTTGGAAGAACCATATAAGCAATCAGGAGGGCTAGGCTGCATTTTAAAAACACATAAGCCCAAACTTTATAGATTTAAATAAAAAAGATGTGCTCTTTTGTTCACAGTATCTATACTTTTTCAGAGATCCAATGTGGGTCTAATCTAGGACACAGCCACCATCTGGATCTGGAACGTTGACTGTTGTAACAGCCATCACACAGGCAATTAAATTCTCTGACCTGGAACTCACACGTGCTACTTCCACTTGTATTTTCTCAGCCAGGGCACGCTACATAGCCACACCTAACTTCTGAGGGGCCAAGATGTATACAATTCTACTATGAGCACAGAATGAGGAAGAATCAGAGCCACTGATGTTTGAACAGCACTGATTACTTACTATTGGTTATTGTATCTTTTTTTCAGAAAGCTCCAAGAAAGAGTCACTCTTTATGAGGGCAAGGGAAATCACAAGAAAGCTCAGACAATCAGCTAGCTGTGTTAGTCAGATTTTCATCACTGTGACAAAATAGCTGAAAAAAACAATTTAAAAGAGGGAAGATTTGATTGGGCTTATGGTTTCTGATGTTTCAGTCCATGGTCAGCTGGCTGCATTGCTTTAAGATCTGTGGCAAGGCAGAAAGATTATGGTAGAAGGGCATGGTAGAGAAAAACTGCTCACCTCTTGGCAGCCAAGAAGCAGAGAGAGAAGGGAAGAGCCCAAAGGGGCCAGCGACCAGATATAGTTTATAAAGATGACACCCACCATGATCCACTCCCTTAAAAGTTTCTGTCACTTTCCAATAATGCTTTCAGATTATAAATTCATCAGTGGCTCAATCCACTGATAAAATTAGAGTCCTCATGATCCGGTCACTTTCAAAATGCCCAACCTTTGAATCTATAAGATTTTGGATCTAAACTGTAACACTAGGTGCCACTAGATGACATTGCAGAAGCTTTCCAAGTAAAGATGTGATGAGCTAACTGAAGCCAGAGTGTGGAGTACGTGTGAGAATGAAGAGGAGAAAGACAATCCTGGAAGGCAGCCTTAGGAGACGGGAAAGAAAACCAGCAACCAAGAGGTGAAGCCCTCGTTTGCTCTATCAAGGCAGTTAATTTTATCTTGAAGGTAGTATGAAGCCATCTGAGGAAGTTAAATTGTGTGGTAGGACAGAAGATGGATGAGAAGAGCAAATGGTGGGTAGGAGAATAGTCAGAGGGGTCAGCAATATCTGGTGATTCAAATCAATACACTGACAGAGGAATGGAATGGAGGAGAGCTATTTTCAAAATATTCAGATGCAAAAACCAACGGAACTTGGAGACAGGATAAAGTGCAGATTTCTGCTGGAGGGATATCTGTTACAATTCACTGAGATTATAAACACAAATGGAAGAAATGAAAATGGAATTGGTTTTGGTCATGCTGAACATGAACAAGAGATAACCATCAGATATATGAGGTAGGAGCGAAAATACTGTCAATGTTTACATTTTAAAAAAATGTACTCTAGTAAAAGACACGTGACCGTGCTTGCTTCGGCAGCACATATATTGGAGCCATACAGAGAAGATTAGCATGGCCCTGCACAAGGATGACACGCAAATTCGTGAAGGGTTCCATATTAAAAAAAAAAAAAAAAGACTCCTCAAAACACTCCCCCGAGCGTCTAACCCATTCATCCTATCATGCGTGCCAGTTTTTGAAGCAGTTGTGGGAGTCCTTTTCGTGTCTTGCACTACAGTGGCTGCCTCAGCGTTCTAAACCCATTTGAAATGTTTATCTTTCACCGTCATTTTGACTTTGGAGAAGAGGTAGACTCCGAGTACGAGGTGGATGAAGGCACACCGTAGTGTTTTTAACAACTCTTCCTTTTCACTGGAGGGCGCTCAGCAGCAGCATTCACTGTAATTTCCCCCCACACCTTGTAAAACATGAAAGAAGGCTTTTAGACTTGCTTTAGAAGGTAGTAAGAATGACAGAATAAATGCGTTGGAAGCGAAAGGGACTATTTTGAGGGGGATTAACGGCAATGCGCCTGCTATTGTAATACATTTTAAAATGTAAACATTCACTGTATACTTCAATCATCCCATGTACAAACTTGGAGATTAAAAAAGCCGAGGGTAGATCTGCTGTGGCATATCAGGGGCGGGACTTGGAACCATAACTGGAGGTAAGTTTTCTCAGGGATGGCAACTGCATGAGAAAGTAGACAAAGACATGTCCTAGAAAACATGAATGTATCTGTGGAGGTGGGGCCCTGGCAAAGGAGACGCAGGGAGGGTCAGTGAGACGGGAGGCAACCAGCTAGGGGAAGCCAAAGGAGGAGAGAGCTTCACCACAGAAATAAGAGTTAACAAGTTTACACACCACAGGATGTCAAATGACAGACAGGAAAAATAGTCCTTAGAATGCCACTCTCAGAAAGACATAAGACCTTTTCCAAAGCAGTTTTGATGGCATGATGGGGAGAGGAAGTCTGTGTAGGAGCTAAGGAGACAATGAGAGGTGAAGACCAAGAGAAAAGGTGAAGGGGTATAAGGGAAAGGACTGAAGTCAGGAAATAATTAGGCAGTGTGTGTGTGTGTGTGTGTGTGTGTGTGTGTGTGTGTTCACAAAGAGAAGATCTTCCTTATTTTCCTTACTGAAAAGATACAGCTGGAGGGGTGGGGGCAGCTAAAGAGGAATGGGAAGGGGGCTTATGTAACAGATTAGAAAGACCCAGCAAAGGTGAAAAAGTATGGAGCTGATAACATGGGGAAATGGCCGTGCCTTGGACAGGATAAAATATTTCTTCCACTAAGAATGAAGGGGAGGTTGGGTGTGTACAACAGCGAAGGTGTGGGTGGCCATGGGTGCCTAACATTGCTAGAATCTCCTGTTGGCCTCCACATTTCCCGTGAAATTGAGATTTCAGTTCACAAAACCCTGAAGAGCCCTTTGCAAGCCACGCACAACTAAGAGACGGAGGAAAGGTGTGACAGGGGCTTTGGAGCAGGGGAAATCTGGAATAGCGTCTGATAGGAAAAGGGCAGGACTGGGCACGGGACAGGGGCGCAGTATCTATCCAGGCTAGGCTGAAGAGGTCACCACGTGGGAGGACAGGGACAGATCCCAAAGAATGCATGCCCCACTGAGGAGTACGGGAGGGCAGATTTCCCGCAGAGAGCATCACTACTGCCAGTGTTTCATGGTGACTTAGCTCTGTTTCGTGAGGGTAGACTTGAGCACTACAGGCGAAACAGCTTCCTCTGCACACCAACGCATGCAGTGTGGGTTTGTTTTTTACCCTCTATCTCCTGTGACTTAGGTTTCTTGCACTCTGCTGTTAAGAAAGTGATCCCAATGACTAGTTTCTTCCAGCTCTCTGTTTCTTGTCAGGATCTGCTTTCCAGATTGTAGGGAGAGGAACTGGAGCTTTGAACTGGGGTTGAGTTTAATGTGTATGTTACAAAACACAGCTCATGTTCTTTAGGTTATCTTGTGGCTGCATCATACCTAACAGTCTTTTAGGAAGCACTTTGACCCAAGTAATCCCTTCCCTGGTAACTCTTCTAGTTGAGTTATTCCCACACTTCTCTCACCCCCATGATAAGAAAGAAAAGAGAATGTGTTTGAAGAAATTCTGAAGCACGAGCCATAATCCTGAAGGAGTGGAAGCTGATCTAACAGGAAGCAGTGTGTCAGAGGGGTGAAAAATCCACACTACTACCTAAATGACAGTCACAAAGACAGCATGGATGATGGAGAAAAACGCTTATATTCTAAGGGAAAAAGCAGCAGATGATCCTCAAAACTACACAATGATTGTAGGAATTCCAAAGATAAATATGAAGGTATACAAAGACTTGAAAGAAACAAAAATAAAGAAAAATCTTGCTTTTATGTCGATAGGATTATTTCATTGTAATTATAATTTTGTTGTTGTAATGTTGTTCATCAAAAAATATAAATAAATAAAAAGTACCCCCACAGACAGTTGAACCTTTGGACAAAATAACAGAAATAGCCCAAAGATTGCCTTCTTCCTATCCTCCTCCTCTGCTAACAAAAACAGCTTTGTCATGTTCAGGTTTGAGATGAGCTCTTTTTTCCAAATCCCAAACTTTAAACCTATTATTAAACATCAGCGAGTTTCCATGTAGTATGTCAACAATCTCTAAAGTATGCTGGATTAAAATTTTCCATTTAATAAAGGGATTTGAAATTCTATTCCATTTGCTAAATCAAGTCTTTCAACTTCTAAAACCAAAATAAAAGAAAATGAAAAAATAAACCAGACCCCTATCCTATCAGCCCCTCTGGCTACTACTCTATCTCCTCTCTATTGCCCTGGGTTTTTCCCTAACGTATTTCCATCCATCTTGTCATCACTGTCCCTCAGAGCTATTTCACACTAAGGTCCACAGTGACTGTGCTTTCTAGTGGACAAATTCTTGTTTTTAACCAGAAACTCCCATCACTACTGACACTGCTAGCCTCTATTTCTCTGGCCAAGGGCCACAATAGGACTGCCTCTTACTTTTTCTCTTAGCCTTTCCTCCTCACAGATGCAATATTAACTCCTTTAAATCTGATCCACTGGTTTCCACGAAGAAACTCCAGACCTGCTAAGAACAGCCAACTCTACCCTGGTGTCCTGCTCCAAGCAGGACATATTCATACATCATTTATGTATCCAAGAGCTGCACTGTGCATGTCCAATGAAAGAATAAGCCTCTTAAAGGTGTGAAAATTGGTTTTGGAGAAAAAAACCTTAGTCTTTATAAAGCATGTATATGTACAAACACAAATATTCATATAATCAGAAGGCAATGAATAATTATATCTGTGTATTAAAAAGTTTATAGGAGGGTAGATGAGTTGGCTTTTTCTGTGGCTGTGACAAAACACTTGAGAGAATCACCTTATAAGGAGGAAGATTTATTTGGCTCATGCTTCCAGAAATTTTGGTCCAGGATTGCTTTGAATCCAAGGCTTTGGGCACATGGCAGGCCGAATATCATGGTGGAGAGCTTGTGGTGGTGCAGAGCTGCCCACTTCCTGAAGGCTAGAAAGCAAAGAGAAAGAAAGGACGAGGAAAGTCCTAATCTTACCATCAGTGGCACAATTCCAGGAGCCCCACTTCCTTCTACTAGGCCTCACATCCTAAAGACTGTGCCGCCATCCAATAGCACCACAGGCTGGCAGTCAGGTGTTCAGCACGTGGCCTTTGGAAGGTATTCAAGATCCAAGTCATCACAGAGGCTGATTAGGAAAAAATGTCTAAAAAGATTCCTGGAGGTTCCCCTCCTCTACTTCCCTACCACCATGAACTAAGCAGCTTCACCATGATGGTTCCACTTGGAGCCAGCTGACCAGAGACGGATCTTCTTCAAACATGAGCCAAATTAAGGTGGGAAGACTACTGGTCTACACACCATGCTAAACTGTGCTAGGGGTTAGGAATACAGCTAGGAATCAAAATAGACTAATCCTCCTGCC